CCCCGAACACAGATGCCAACACAGGAAATGTTTCCTGGGGCCTCCTGGGGCCTCCTGGGGGGGCGGGAAGGCCGAAAAACGTTCCCCGACCACAGGTCCCTGGAGCGCCCCGTGGCCTCCGCAAGTAGTGGCACGACAGCTGTGACGGATTCCACTGCGATGCAGAACTGCGAAGACGTCTTAAACGAAACGGCCGTCTGGGCATCCGCGAGTAGCAACAAGCTCTCAAGCATCCCCTTGTGGTGCTAAATCGCAAAGAAAACTCAAGCTAAAAGGCCGCTCCGGCATCCGCGAGTAGCGGCAACATGGTTCTGAAGGATCCCCTTGTGGTGCTAAATTGCGAGGGAGTCTCAGGCGAAACTGACGTTCCCGCATGCGTAAGTAGCGGCAAGCATGCTCTGAAGGACCCCCCTGTGGTACTGAATTGCGAAGAAGCCTCAGGCGAGAGCGCCCTTCCTGAGTTTCAGGCCCTCTCTGGCCAGGGCCTCCATGTATCGCACGGGAGCGCTGAATCTTCATTTTTGGTTTGTAATGAACAACTGTTGTGGGCCCCCCCTCCGAAAACCATTCTATGTTTTAGATTGAAATGCCCTTTCCGGGGCTGGCGCCTGGTTTTTCACAAGGGACAGTGTGGAGTCACCAAACTGTGCCCGTGGTCCCCGGTTTACAAAAACACTTCTCCCTCCTGACACTTCTCCAAACATGCAATCCAAAATCACACTCTCGCGCGGGACCTCCTCACTATGTATACAGGAGTCGCGCTCTCGCGTGGGACTTCCTTACAATGTATTCAAACACCGCGCCGTCGACACGCAAGAATCATGCTGTCGCTCTGGATATCTCACGATATATTTCAGAATCGCGCTTGTGCTCGAGACCTCTCTTCGCGATTCGTGCAGGACACACGCTCCAGCAACCCGTTTGCTCGACTTGGCTTGCCTGGGCCCAGCTCCCCGACCCGCCCGTTAGGGTCTACCCGCCCAATCTGCCCGTCTGGTTTTACCACCTGTTTTCTGTTCCTTGCCCCCACTCGTGCTAATTTCTCTCGTGCTCCGTCCTCCTCTTTCCCCCTTGTCCCTTCCCCTTCCGTCTGTCCTCTCTTTCCCTGTCTTAGAGGCTGCACGAAACACATGGTGCAGGCAAGAAGATATACCCATAAGAAGATGCGATCGAAAACGAAGAGGGAGGGTACCGAGGGCTTGGGATATACTATTAACTGGCACGAGGGCAGATAAGAGCAACCAATATCGAACATATTGATATTGTTGTTGAACTCCCACTACTGAAGAACAACTCTGGTTGACCCCCCATCCGGGGCACATTGTAGTTGTTCGATTGAAGTGCCCTTCCCAAGGCTTGTACCCTGTTGTTTCTTCTGGAAATTCCTGAATGTCAGAATTGTATATGTGGCACCCACTTTACGACAGCAGCAACAACAACAATCATGTTAAGACTGTTCGCTCCCATCTGCTCGCGTGCCAATCAATACGTATATCCCAAACCCTCGGTACCCGCCCTCGTCGTCGTCGATCGTACCCCCTTTGGACTCTATCTTCCTTGCCTGCCATGTGCATTTAGTGAAGCCCTAAAGCAAGGGACGAGAGGACGGGTGGAAAGGGGAGAGAAACGAATGGAGCACGAGAGAAATTAGCACGAGAGGGGGCAAGGACCAGAAAACAAGTGGTAGATCCAGACGGGCAGATCGGGTGGGCAGACCCATAGCGGGCAGGTCAGGAAGCTGGGCCCAGGCGACGAGGTCGAGCAGGCGGGTTGCTGAAGCGTGGGTCCTGCATGAATCGAGAGGGAGTCTCGAGCGAGAGCGCGATTCCCCAAAAAATCGCGAGAGAAGCCATAACGACAGCATGATTCCTGAGCGAGGAGGGCGCATCGTTAGAATTAATCGCAAGGAAGTCCCACGCGAGAGCGCGATGCGCACATGACTTGTGAGGAAGTCCCGCGCGAGAACGCGATTTAGGAATACCTTGTAAGGAAATCTCAGGCGGGAGCCGTTGTTGTTGTAATCCGGGGGCCAGGGGCCCAGTTTGAGCCCCGTGACTTCTCGGATAACAAAAAAAACAGGGTGCGAGCCCCGGGGGATACACTCCACTTGAAAAAGACACAATGGTCACCGGGGGGGGATCAACAACCAATTATTCGTCAATAATGAAAAATCAACACCTACAACACAAACAACAACAACGGTTCCCACCTGATACTTCGTCACACTGTGTTCCCAAATCGCGCGCTCGCGCGCGACTTTTTCACAAGTTATGCAAAACTCGCACTGACGTTTCAGACCCCCTCGCAATTTATTCCGACGCCGCGCCCGCGGCACTCAGGAATCACGATCTCGCTGTGGATTTCCGAAAGATTTGTTTGAGACTCGCGCTGTCGCTCGAGACTTGCTTGCGATTCATGCAGGACACACGCTCCAGCAACCCGCCTGGTCGACCTGGTCGCCTGGGCCCTCCCCCCCGACCCGCCTGTTAGGGTCTACCCGCCCGATCTGTCCGTCTGGTTCTGCCACATGTTTTCTGTTCCTAACCCCCTCTCCTGCTGTTCTCTCTCGTGTTCCATCCTCCTCCTTCCCCCTTGTCCCTTGTCCTTTCCTTCCATCCGTCCTTCATTCCCCTGCCTCACGGGCTGTACCAAATACGCGTTGCAGATAAACATCTATTCCCAACGGTGGACGGTCGAAGACGAAGAGGGGGGTATCGAGGGCTTGGGATGTGTTGAATGACGCGAGAGCAGATAAGAGCGAACAGTCTTAAAATGATTGTTGTTGGTGGTGTTGGTGTTGGTGGGAGTGTTGGTGGTGGTGTTGTCATCGTCCTCGCTGTTGTTGTTGAATTCTCTCAACTGAAATATGTATATTGTTGATCCCCCTTCCGGTGACAATTTTGTTTTTCAATTGAACTTATTCCCCCGGGACCCGCCTCTTTTTTATCAAGGATTGTCATTGGGCTTAAAATGCGGTGTTGGCCCCCGGATTATAGCAACAACAACGGCTCCCGCCCGAGACTTCCTCACAATTTAGCCCGGACCCCTGCTCCTGCCTGAGACGCCCTCGCATTTTACGCAGGAGTCGCGCTCTCGCTTCGGACTTCCTTTGCGATTTATTCAGGAATCGGTCTCTCGGCGCTCTGGAACCGCGCTCTCGCTGGAGACTTGTTTGCAAATTACGCAAGAATCGCGCTCTTGCGTTGGAGCTCCTCGTAATTTACTCAAGCGCCGCGCTCCCGACTCAGCCACCCAGGAGCCACGCACACGCTTAGCACTCCCTCGAAGCTTACTTAGGACTCGGGATCTCGCTGCCCTTCGTGGCGCCGTTACAGCCCTTCGTGGCCCCCTCGCTGTCCTTCGTGGCCCCGCGGCCGCCCTTCGTGGCCCCCTCGCCGCTCTTCGTGGCCCCGTTGCCGCCCTGCGCGGCCCCTGCGCCGCCCTTCGTGGTCCCGTTGCAGCCCTTCGTGGCTCCTTCGCTGTCCTCCGTAGCCCGTTGCAGCCCTTCGTGGCCCTCTCGCTGTCCTTCGTGGCACCGTTGCAGCCCTTCGTGGCTCCCTCGCTGCCCTTCGTGGCCCCGTTGCACTCCTGCGTGACCCCCTCGCTGTCCTTCGTGGCCCTGGTGCAGCCCTCCGTGGCCCCGTCGCTGCCCTTCGCGGCACCGTTGCAGCTCTTCGTGGCCTCCGCTCGTTCGCGCCCGTCGTGGCACCATACGCATGCCTTTTCGGGCCCCGCTGTCGCCCTTTGTGGCCCCCTCGCTGTCCTACGTGGCCCTCTTGCTACCCTCAGTGGCCCCGTCGTTGCCCTCTGTGGCCCCGCATTACCTGCCCTTCGCGGCCCCCGCTCGCGCGCGCTTTTCGTGGCCCCATACACATGCCCTTCGTGGCCCCGCTGGCGCTCTCGACCTCGCTCTCGCTTTCGCTCGTCGTCGTCATCGTCGTCGTCGTCGCGGTCGTCGTCGTGGTCGGTCCCCTGTCCGTCCTTCTTGGGGTCGGGTTGCCGCCGATCAGCGCTGCCGCTGGCCAGGCCGACGGTCCGCGGCCGCCCCGCCGCCTGCCGGAGCCCGGCCCGCAGGGAAGAAGTATAGACCCCCCACAAGGGTATGATCGAAGACGAAGAGGGCGGGTATCGAGGGTTTGGGCAATACACGTTCAATGACACTCGAGCAAATAAGAGCGAGCAGTCTTCAAAATGCTTGTTGTTGTTGGTGGTGTTGTTTTGGGACCGGTTTGGGCGGGAGCCCGACAGGCTTGACCGTGAGTCTCAATTCCAAACAGATGACAGCCTGTGCCAGGAAGCGAGAGCGACCAGACTGAGATAGGGAGCCCAGCAACACTTATGTTTGAGTAAATATGAAAATCAAACACAAAGGAGATCAGCACGGATGGTGGGCAGGAAGCGGGGGAGGGAAAATACATCATACAAGAAGAGAAGGCAGATGAGGACACGAATCGCCCATAGGGTGGCGAGGAGCACGGCCAGAGGAGGTCATACCTGTCCAACTTGCAGCATGATATTCCCAGACACTGAAGGCATCGCGTGCTTTTTTGGACCAGCCCTCGATGCGGATCGCATGCAACATGACACTCCTGAGGGAAGGTGCAGCGCCCACCGCCTGCGTCATGCGGCTTCAGCCTCTGGTCCTAGCCACCATGGCCTTGAGACACGATGGCAACGAAGAACATGACAATGAAGCTGATGATGCTGATGATGCTGATGCTGATGATGATTACCGTTGCGATTGATGGCGTTTTCTCAGCTGCGAGCCCCCTGCTAACCTTGGTCGGCTCTGCGGTGGCAGCCCGAGCTTGCTGCAGCGCGCAGCGGATCATTGACACGTCAGGGGCTGGCAGACCAGCCTCACAAGCAGGTGGGGGATGTGACAGGTTTAGGGACTGTAGACGACGCTGAGGCTGTAAGCTTCTTGCCAAGGAGATGACCTAAGAAGAAACTGCCAGAGGGCGACAACCGTCCACGATTGCAACACATTGTCAAGCTGGTCACATGACGCTGCAAGCTAGTCTCATCTCCTCGTAGGTCTTGCGATACAGCAGAGTGTCCGGGTGCTCGGGCCCTAACGCCTTGGCAATTGAACTCCGATCCCATGCTGTGCTCTGAAGGGCCGACCGTGACAACGCGCGAGGTGTGCACTCGGAGGCTTGACCGCGTCGCAATGCACATAGATCGTCGCTGCTCGTCGCTCGAATCACGAATCAAACATAATGACGCCTTGAATTAAGGCTGATCTCTCGAGCCCCAGATGTGACACATGCGCTTTGAACGTGCCGGCGAGAAGCAACTGCCGGACACGGCCTGGGCTCCTCAAAGGGACCCGCCTCGAACTCCTTGGAAGGTCACACTCAGGGTCGGGCGCTCGTGCCCCGCTATCGGCAAAGAAACCCGTGTCCTCACGCCTCTCCTCCTGCCAAGTGAGGTTCACAGGCTTCCAGCTCCTGAGGGCCCCCTCCTTCCCATGAACGAGACGCAGTGCATACAGTGGAGGCTAGTGGCTAGTCCACAAGAAACCCAACCCTGAGACCCTAGGACGTCCATTGATGTTTGGCGTGGGAGCGTCACGCTTTCCATGGCAAAACCATCGAAACCCAAGACACCCAAGGCACCCTGGAGGCAAGCAGGGTGTTTCTTGGCATGGGCCCCCACTGTAATTAGTCCTGGCGCCAGTCCGCCGCTCACGAGATGTCGGAGCAGGGCGAGCTGAGGCAGCGGCAGCTCCACATCGATCGCCCAGACCCCCCCCCCTGAGGTCCAAACGCACCCGTTTCCCGAGCTGCGCCCCGCCGTGGCGAAGAGGGGGCCCCCGAAGGCGAACTGCCGCCGCTGAACTGGCGCCAGTTTGCTCTTCACGGGCCAGTTCCGGGAACCCTAAACCCCAAGAGGCTGCCATATCTGAAGAGGCCAACTTCTACTTCCGCCGTCTTCTTCCCCCGCATTCCGCAGAGGAAGATATGGCAACTCCTTGTAACATGGGATCTGTCGACTTCTATCCCAGGTTTCGTGGGGTGGGGTTTTCAAATGGACCAGCAGTTTGGGGCCCAACCCTGGGATACACGATGGGGGGTCGCCCGTCCTCCATAGGGGTGCGTCCGAAGAGCCCGGGGAAGAGGATAGGGGGGGAAAGAGCGAGGCGAGGGAGTCCCAGGAGGTATCTGGGCATGCCTCGACCTGCCTGGCGGACAGTGGCCCGGTCGAGGGCGAGGCCCCTCCCGGGACGCCCCACGGGGCAGGCGCGGTCCCGAGGCGCTAGGCCCACGGCGCACTCCGCCCGCTCCGCGGCGCGGCGCAACAGCTTGGCCGCCTCGGACTGGCGCCCCAGCCCCAGCAGGCACGCGGCCAGCCGGTGCGTGGCCGCGAGCGTCTGCGGGTGCCAGCTTCCCAGCGCGGCCTCCCTGCCTTTGTTCGGGGGGGCAGGACGAAGCCAGGACGAGGACAACATCGGGGGAGGAAGCATGCTCTGAATCAAGCTCTTAGATCTGGCGGCTCTGGAGGACGTGTCGAGCACCGCAGCTTTCTCAGAGCGTTCTGGAACGCTCTGTGAGCGTTCTGGAACGCTCTGGAGCGGATGTAGCCTCGTCCTTGCCCCGTCCGACTTCGGGGAGGGCTCAAGCAGGGACGGGAAGGCAAGCCAGCTGGCGGTCAGATCGATAGCCGGACAAGATCTGGGGGAACGGAGCTCAAGCCAAACGGAGTGCAGGAACGGAAGCCTTCCACTTCCAGGGGCTTCCCCTGTGGCGCACATCGGAACATGACTGAGTCCAATCGGGTGCGAACACGCGCGGGCTGTCCTCCAAGGAGGTCTGTGGCCTTGGCACTCGGCGGGCGCCGTGGCGGGTCGGACGCCGAACGAGCTCAGTCAGCACGGGGACCCGCCCCCCTCCGCGACGGGGCCGGGGAGGGCCAGGAGGGCGGCCACGACTCCATGAGCTGGTGGGCTTGCTCTTCCACTGCCACCACCATACGTAGGAGGGGGAGGGGGTCCTCCTCCACCTCCTTCCCCTCTCCAACTTATGGTGGTGGTGGTGGAGAACAGGCCCATGATGAGCTGCTGCCCCCCAGAGGGCGCGGACGGAGACCCTCGGTGCCCGAGCTGCACCGGCCGGGAGCCCCCCCCCCCCCAGCCCCCCCCCCCCCCCCCCCCGGCGCGGCCTGCGAGCACTCGCCGCAGGAGCGGCTCCGCCGCCTCCCACCGCCCATCGAGCCCCAGGGCTTCGCCCAGGGCGCAGCCGCATGCCAGCGTGTCCAGGTGCTCTGGGCCGAGGGCCGCCTCTGGGTGGCGACATCCGAACCCTAAAGTAGGAGCTCGACCACAAGAAACCTTCCACGAGAAACCCACCCCTGAGACCCCAGCCAGGGAGTCCGTAGATTCTTTCGTGTGGGAGCGTCACGCTCTCCACGGCAAAACCATCGAAGCCCAAGACACCCAGGGCACCCTGGAGGCCAGCAGGGTGTTTCTTGGCAGGGGTCTCCCCTGAACTCTCGGGTTCCGCCACGTGCATGACGAGCTCCGAACCCTGCCCCCGCCGCCCATTGAGCTGCCCGCCTCGTGTCAGGAGGGGAGAAACACACACAGACACAACTAACAAGGAGAAGATGGGAAAACATGGAAGAAGTGGGGGAAGAATCCAGAAAATATGTGTGGAACAATATGGAACAGTATGGGGAATCCTTGGAACTGTGTATGTATCTATGTGTGTGTCCTTGGGCCCCTTGGTCGTGGATATCGGCGAGGGCAGGCCTCGGACCTCGCCGCCGCGCCTCGCTGCTCCCCAGGGTGTGCCGCAGCAGCTGCTCGCCCTCGGCGGCCCGGCCCGTGGCGCGCAGCAGCGCCGCCAGCTGTCGCGCGGAGCCCAGGGAGGCGGGGTGGTCCGGGCCGAGC